CTGATAGAGTGTAGAGTAGTTTAGAGTAGACGGCTTCATGTGCCAGCTCACCATCATAAAATCATGGATGCACATAAGTGGTGGAACTCTGTCGGAATAAAAATTGGTAGGAGAGAAGTTGATACCGTGAATCTACATACCAACCAGTACCAGATTATTCCCATCCACTTACTATGATTTACTGATAGAGTGAAAGAAAAAAATTAATACCAAAAGAGAGAGAGAGAGAGAAATATCGCATGTAATAATTATCAATATCCGATGACTAACGGTTGCCATGGAATACCTGGCAAACCTGTCACTGGGTCATTCAATTTTCCCCCATACATCATTCAATTGGCATTGGCAATGTCAACGAATTGACCCACATCAGTCACTTCGAATTGGTTCATGTATCTTTCATTTCCCCTCGCCACAAATTCCCCGGTAGCTGTTGCACCGATGACAGTCGTCGTGTGGATATTTCCCCCGATACCAAGAAGTAAGTCGATAAATCTGTCCCCCGTGAAACGCCTCAGGGCGACAAAGAGGATAAACCCTAACTCCTTCAAGAGGCCCACAACTTAATTCCTTTTTTAACTATTTATTTTATTCATGAGAATGCAGATAAGTCCCGGCTAAATGCAATCTGAGCCGATTCAGCACTATGAATAAATTGAGTGATATCGCTCGCTTGAAATATCGAGTGTTTCCTACACAATTTTTCAATTAATTGAGATAAAAAAATTTTGTTTATTTATTCCCATCGATAAATCAACGAAAAAGTCAACTTTTAACAGCTCTATTCACCGATCGTTTGTAAAAATCATGGAAAATTAATTTTTCATTGACTCTCAATGATTTTAGGATGATTTCAACAGGAAAATAATGGAATTCGATTTTTCTATGATACGAAAATTTTCAAAGTCCACCTTCTCATCCACAGACAACCCAGTAGGAAATTAAATTCTGGATCCCCAAAATGAGTTTGACAGAGCGATCCAAATGTACTCAATGCCTGAATGAAATTTTTTTTTACTCTCGTGCCAAGGTTGACATCGATGACAATAGAATGAAAACGCGTCGCTCCATCTGGCACACTTCCGGTTCTCATTTTATTATATTTGTACACGTCCTGCGGCCCATTTACTCAGTGGTCTCATTCCCTCCCCAAAAAATAAACCAAATCGCACAACTGATGAAATAAAAAAATGTAGGGAGGGCGATGAAAATCTCCTTTTCATCATCACGTAACCTTCGACTTCCGGTTGAATATAACGCATGCATAATAATGAATGTGCAATGAGATTGAGACGTCTCTCTCGAAAAACGTCATTCACGGTTAATCTAGTTTTATTAATGATCTCAGGCTGTGGAGAGGAAGTTCAATGTCTTTTTATCTCTGTGGATTTTATTTTTATTCATCTCCTCCCCACATTCGCCACCAGCAGTTCAACTCGTGCATTCAATTTATTTTTCATTATACTGTTGACTCAAATTGTTTACTGAGAGAAAATTCCACATCAAAATAATAATTCATTAACAAATGTTTCATTTCTTGAATCGTCGAATAATTCTCGAAAAATTTGAAAAATTGGTTATCTGAACTTTTGAGTCAATGAAATATTCAATTAAAATTGAATTCCAACTGACAATGAAAAATTGGAAATAACGACTGAAATTTCTGGGAATCTTAACCTTTCTCCATTTAATTCCTCGAGTAATTTCTGCTGGAGTGGATAAAAAAATTATGCCCGGTAGATGACAGAGAAATAATAGGTCCATCAACGGTGGATAATGAGGACGTCTCGTTGAGAGACAAAGGGGGAGGACTCCATGAGGAAAAATCCAGAGGCCAAGTGTTTGTGGTGCTCCACCTAGTGCACAAGAAAGAGTCAAGTGCGGCGGGTCGTGCCCATTTCGCGAATAGGTATAAATATAACTGCACTCTTCTGGAGGCAATGCTACCACAGTATCGTTTTACGTGACACTGCCATCTCAGGAATTTCCGAGAATTCTTCCCACAGTTTTTTGAATTTTTACACTCGAGCATTATTCAGCTGCAAGAACCCGCGAGACGGACAAAAAAATTTTTTAAAACAAGATTCAAGGAGGAATCGTTATTTTTATGGTAATTGCACGTGGAAAAAATATCGAGGGAAACGCTTATCGTATTATCTTCTCGCAAGAAATAGTTCACATCAGCTGCTCGTTGAATTTATAAATAAATAGTGATGTCAGTAAATTTCTACAAATTTTACGAAAAAACTCCGCTGGATTCTTTCGAGAATATCTCAAAAACTAATGAATCTATCTGAAAACCGCCCAGTAACTTTTTTTAGCCAAGAAAAAGATCTCTAAACAAAGTCCTATAACATTCCGACCTAGCTCCCATCGTTCTCCAGATATTCGCAAAAATAAATCACGAGTGTAATTGACCCAATCAATGCCAAAGAATGCAAAAATCTTGTGAGTAAATGAATCAATTAATTTTCCCCTGGGGGTTTTTGTGGCAGCGTGTGAATATCAGAGTAAAATTCAAGTGGAGGATGTAAAAAATTTCTAATCACATGGGAAAGGGCTCTCAAGAGAATAGAATCGTTAAGAACTAAGGACAGAGGGTTTAGGGTACGTTGGCACCATGACAGCTCAATTTTTCACACCGGGGAGTCAGCAAATGCTGTTAATCCGTGACCCACCGTACCATTTATTCCCAACTCGTGCTCTACCTCTCTCATCACGACAGGTGTCAGAATATTTCCTTTTATCCCACCTCTCAGTGTAAATAACTGGGCTTGTAAGCAAGTCGATAAAACCAAGTTATTGGCTACTTGGGAGGTTTGTTTAATGTTCCTTGGCAATAAAAGATATTTACCAACTCAGGTGTGAGTGATGAAAAATCCTCAAACATGTGGTGAATCGATTTTCAACATTCCAGTGCTCACGAATACATAAATACATGCAGAAAATATAATATAGGGTAATTGTATGTATTTATCTATCACGTAATGATCTCTGGAGTATGAGGGAACTGGAATTCCCGAAAAAAAATTCACTCGCATCCCTTTCTTGTAATCAATTATTTAATTATGATAATTTTGTAAATTCAAGGGGAGTATTGTTGAGATGAATAATTTTACTTGCAGATGTACGTCATGAACTCTCGTATGATTTAGTTCTATTCATAATCCGTGTCCAGCAAAATAAGGAAGTATGAGTGAATAGACAGTGGACTTCTGTTGAAGATTTATCCCACGAAAAAATATATTCATTCATTCTAATTTATCTAAATACGCGGAGAAATCCAGACGATTAATTTAATTAGTTTGGGGAAGTCTCGAGTGTCGGAGTGGAGGGAATTAATTGAATTGGTGTCGCTAATTAATGAATCGGATAGACAATGATCACATGGGGTTTTTTGTAATTCAGTGGGTTGAATTGAATTACTGATGTACTTGGGACTCACTTGATAATTTTTTTTGTCTTTGCGATTTGGAGAGAAACGACGAGAAACAACACCGCGGTGAAGATGATTTTGAAGACTGAGGGAGGATAATAAACCGGCGATAAAGCAACATTGCCTGAGGGGTTAAGGGCCCCGTTCTGGCAAGTGGGCCCACA